TATATATATATATATATATATATATATATATATACACATATATATATATATATATATATATATACACACACACACACATATATATATATATATACATACACACACACACATATATATATATAATTTTATATATTTTTCTAAAATTTTATTTTATTTTATATATTTTATATATATTACATATATTTCATGGAATTTAAAATCCATCAGGATTATGTTTCCTTTAACTGTATAGTTGAAAAAATGTATGTAAGATACTAACTTTTCTTCTAGTTGGTATAGTAGATGTGTCAGGTACGTATTACATACATAAAGCTTAACCATGCAACAGCGGGGTTTTAAAGCAGCCCCAGAACAACTATGTTATACTATAAATAACCATACCCACAGAAAGAGAGAGAGAGAGAGAGAGGGCGGGAGGGAGGGAGGAGGGAGAGGGAGACCGGGACCAACATGCCAGGTTTCTGCCATGGTGTAAATTACATCATTGCATTTGTTCTCTTTCTCAGTTTCTTCCTGGTCAGCAACCACAAGTCTTGTTATTTATAGAACAGAAGGCAATGTATTATCAGTGGCAGAGGGACCACAAGGGATTACATAGTTCTGACATGTGGCTAACAACAAAACCTCCAATATGTCACTTTTCTTGACTCATACTTGATTTATTTGGAGGGCAGAATTTAGGTATTGTTCCGCCACTTTCTCTCTTCCTTATTTAGGCACTGAACACTGTCTTCCATGAAACCGGTCCCTGGTGGCAGAAATGTTGGGAATGTTGGACACTGCCAATTTACAGAATTCTAGAGCCTTTAAAGATACTGACAACAAAAAGACTTGTCAGTAATTGCATCTAATTTACTATTTGCTTTGAAACTGAGAAGGGCATTTGCCCACCTTTGAAAAATGACTGCACAAACTCTGAATTTATATCTACAAATTTCCTTATGTTTTAGGTGTAATTTGTCCTCCCTTTAACTGGAACTTCCTTCTTTCAGCTTTTAATCTTTTCTCATATGATTGATACGGCTTTCCTTAGGGAAAAGGATTGTGGTAAAGGAATTCGAGTAGATGTGCCTTTTCTCTGTCACTTGACAATGTTTTTCCACCTTATCTTCTTAGACTAAATTTAAACACCTCTAAACTTTCAACTCCCCTCTCCTTATTTCCTCTCCTGTTTCTTTGTTCTAGGCTCCAAGACCCCCTGGGATTTGTATGCTGCTTACAGAATTCCTGCCAATTAGTTTAGTCACTCATATCAAGCTACAACATATGGCCCTTCTTTGCTTAAAACATTCCTCTTCTGTTCCCAGTTAATATTCTTCATTGCCCTATTTAAATCACAGACTCTCTAAGAAATGGTAAAAAACAACAAACTTAGAACTATAGATGCTAATAGATGGACACAGTATTGGATACAACGATCTTGCCGTATCCTTTCCTTACAATAATCTTGCGCGAGTAACAGCGATTACAATAAATCCTTTTGCACATCTCAGTTATCCAGAGTGTTATTAAGGAAATCTTCTTGATAGAAATCAAATATATAATAATCTTCCCATTTGATAAGGCCCCATGAAAATCTATCCCACTCAAAGTTTCATTTTTCTCAACCCAGCAGCTATGCAATCCCAACTGAGCGATACACACTTTCCTACGGATAACAGTAACATAAATCATTATTCATCATATGAACCGTTTAAGAGAAGCACAGAAATCCCAGAGGAATTCTAAGTTTGTGTTTTGTTTCCAGTACAACCTACTGTAAGGGAGAAGATAAATAAATCAGGTAACATTTTCCTTTGAGGATGGAAATGCTGATTTGAATAAATTATTACTTTAAACTCCCTTTATTATTTTAGCATTTGAGATACGCATGTGTTTTGTCTTAGCTCTGTCTAGCATATGGAAGAAATGCAGTAGGAATGCCTTGTCAGGTCTTGAGCAACTCTGAACGTCTAACCACTGCTGATATCATAATAAACCACAGCAAGCAGGACATGTTCTCTGCTCTTATTGCTATGCAATAAAAGTTATTTGAGGCAACACAGCTGAAGTTTATGTAGAGGTCTGGCATAGGTAAAGGAAAACATCAGCAGGAAAATATCTTTTACATCAGCATTTCTTTGCTTATTTTAATAAATAACTTTAGGTTCATTATAAACATAAGATATTCATGATGTGTATCCATGTATGTATCTATACACATATGAATAGATATTGAAATCTGAAGTTGCAATAGGAATTTAAATACTTCCTTAGTTTTTCGAAGAAACTTACCACATTCTCAATGGCAATATTATTATCCCAATGGATAATTATTATTATCCCATTCTTAGAGATAGTATCCAATTGTAACTTGTTTAAGTGTACAGAGAAAGATATACTAGCTTTGAGTGTACATTGCTTCTGTTGTTATTATTCAATATATAGCTAGAAAAGTTTAAACCATAATCTGTGTTTGTAATAGAATGGAAAAATGCTGCTACCTTTACAATTAATCCTTTTGAATCAACCATCCAGATCTTTTTAAAGGCTTCTTTTTTAGGTGTCCCTTCCTTTTCCATGCCCATAACGAGAAGATGGGCTATGCCCATTGCTGCCTGATGAGAAAAGGAAGAATTAGTATATAGATAATAGAATATAACCTCTCTCTCTCTCTCTCTCCCGCCCTCCCCCCCTCTCTCTCTCACACACACACATGAAATCAACTCAGTTCTTCCCATATACATACATATTTATACATATGCAAATATAGTTATATGAAAATATCATGAGCCGACAAAAGCGTGAACGTCATAAGCGCGCCGACAACACCGCGGCGCTAAAACCGCGATGTCAAAAGCGCGCCGACAACAGCGCGCCGACAACAGTGCGCCGACAGAAGCGCGATTTAATTTAAGGTAAGATTTACATTTAGGTTTAGGGTTAGGTTTAGGGTTAGGTTTAGGTTTAGGTTTAGGTTTAGGGTTAGGTTTAGGGTTAGGTTTAGGGTTAGGTTTAGGGTTACGTTACAGCGCGCTTCTGT